AAATGTATTATATACTGTAGTACATTATGTGACGGTATGGGGTGGACTTACGTGGTTATGTGAATTTGGCTGTTCGCAATGGTTCTCGGCACCGAACCCTTGAATGTTGAGACCCTACTGTACTTGTGAAAATGTAGTATATAAAGTAGCAGTAGGAGAAAATAAAACCTATTATCGAAGAAAATCGAATGTCTAGTCTCGGAAATAAAATGGAAAATCTAAACTATTCCATTTCATTGTATAAAGAGGGAAAAGGACGTGAATAATGAGTCTTTACCAATATAGAATGTTCCATCAAAGTCACTTGACTCCTCCTCTCCAGGTGAATACTGGATCCCAGGGCATTAGAATCAACAGCATGACTGGCAAGCATTAACTACTCTGTTGTGTGTTAGCTCAGTGTGGGCATCTGTGGTCTATTTCAAGACAGATCAACATGCTTTTGCTTGTAGTAAGCAGTAGTCTTTTCACCTGCACACCTAGAATTTAATGAGCATTGTTTGGCTGTGCATGTTTTCTGGGATGAATAAGATTTTATCACAGAAAAACAGCCTTGGTTGCAGCCTGTTGTCAAAATTAGCAAATACCTCTTTGAAAGAAACAAAATTTGATCAAGATACCATATTGCAAATGCATAAAGAAAATTCCATACCATGAAACAATTCCAGAATTCTTGGTATCCAAAGAGCATTCTAACGTGCATAGGTTATAGTTACAGACATGTACTGTAGATATACCTTATATCATTTATATAGTTCTAAATCTGCTTTCCCAAATTCCAAGCAGGTTTCCTATAAATCAGCAGCTTCTTAGGATCAGGTGAAAGGAATTTAGTTGGAAGGGTTAATTGGCTCAAGGTGGCCTTCTTATAGTAATCATACATTGATGATGCTTTTTGAAAAATGTTGGTCCTCTGTGTTTCTAGTCTGCTGTTAATTTCTCTGCAAAGCTCTCCACAGTTTATTTTCTTCCTATTAGAAAAAAAAACTACCTTACATATCCTATTATTTCCCCTTTTACCTGATTGATACTTAGTAACAGACTGTCTAATGCAGAGATACACTAACAAAAGCATTTACTATTGACATTGATAAATAACTTAATATTGGATCGAATGAGCTCCTCTTATTATTTTTTTTTCAAACACAGGGAGCTCAGTACATTAATTTGACTGTACCTGTTTGAAATACAAAACCATTTTTTGCCTGATAAACTGGAATTTTACATTTCAATTTAACTCTACATGTTTTCTTCATAATGGACATGTAATTTGCTGTGGGGTGTAAAAGAGCAGCTAACAAAAATGAAAAAAATATTCTTTATTCCCCGTAGCTTTCATTTCCTGACAGATGTTTCAGTCACCATAACACTACAATGCAGTCTCCTGAAGATAAAATGTAACTAAGCAATAAATTCAACCCCAGAGCAGAGCCCGAATCTCCTGCATTATTAGTATAACAAAACACTTTGTGTAATTAGTAGGTGTATCCTGAGGGAGGGAAGATTTGCAACATGCAGGTTTCATGCTGTTTACTGGCAAAGGGATACCATTTGGAAGCATGCTATTCAAAAAGAGATTCAATTCAGCTCTGTAGAAATATTGAAACAGCTGCAGAGCCTGTATAGTCCCGATGACAGCAGAAAGCAAATGAGAATGCTGTGTGCTATACATATTACAAGCCTCTCTTTTTGCACACTGAGTTTCCTGTTTGGCAGGATTAGGTTTTATTCCTCAGGTGTGACGGTACTGATAAAACCTTTTCTGCGTAAAAGCTTGTTTGTTTTCACCAAAACAATTTGTGCAGTTAGTGGTAGTGCATGATTTCTCTTCTGGTCCGATATACAGAACAGTTATGGAGGTGCAGTTAAATATTTTTTTTGTTCCTGCTTAAACTCTATTAAATCATACCATGTTGTAATATTTATGAAAATCTGTATTTTGGATCATGAATGTTTGCTGAAATCCACAGCCTGTATCTGTATAACATTTGAAAAGTGTTAAACGTCTCTCACATGAGTTACAAAGCTTTATCTTCACTCTGGCTATCATGAAATAAAGATCAAAGCCAAATGCTGTGGCTTTGTCCTCCAAAGCCAGTCTAAAGTAAACTGAAGAATATTTTTTTCAAGACACCAAAAAACTGTGAAATATATTGCATCTCAAAAGTATTGTAAAGGTAAAAAAAAACAAGGTCCTTTGTTATCAGGGCAGCCAAAACAAGTGACATTAACAAACACTTTCAAGGGATAGGGGTGGTGTTTCACTTTTGTTGGTCTTTCTTACAACTTAAATTTGAAGTTCCTACCACAAGAGAGACATTTCTAAAGTCAATGTTCAGAATCATCAAGATTGTTAATGAGTAACTCTGGTATAATGATAGCAAACCACCACCTTTCTTATTGTGTTACAAGAGATAACATTTATGTAAGTAGCTGATAACAGCTCTTTCCATTGTACTTCAAATTTGCTCAACACAAAATACACGTTTCTGATACTATAAACTGTATAAAAGTGAAAGAAACTCATCCTACAGTACTTAAATGAAAAGTGGAAAAAGAAGAGAATAAAGCATTATGGAAAATGTAAAATGCTGCTAATCAGAAATGGTCCATTACAGAATCTTTAAAAATCTAGCAAATAATGAACTCAGTCCAATATTAATAACTAAGTACAAATATATTACATTGAACATTATGAATATTATTCTATATTTTATTATATATGATATTTATTACGCTCTGTATATGGACCTGTTTTCAAATTTTTGCAAATGTGTTTCTTTTTCCCCACACAAGTTTCGCAGTCAGAAGCTGTGAGCCCTTTAATGAATGATACTTTCTGTTGCTATAGGACATTGTATTTTCTAGTTCTTTGTCAGTGATGTGCTATTTATAGTTCTGTGACACTGCAAGCCCTGTAAACAAGATGTGCTGTAAGGTCTGAAAATCTGAGGATTGCATATATAAATAAGATCTGTTTTTCACATACACAAGCCTCACCCTTTTTAATATGAAGTACAAATACAAGACAAACCACTTGAAAGGTACAGTGGAGGAAGAAATCTTAAAAGGCAAAGTGAAAATGCAACTTACATTGCAAATTATTTTCATGCCTGTGGCTTCCAATCTTTCTGGACAATTTATTTAGGTTACTGGTCTGTTGTTTGCTTTTGTTCTTCGTAAGGATCTTCCATCAAGAAGGCACGATGCCGCAAGTCAAATCCCAGGTTTCAAAAGTCCTCAATAAAACAACTCCTGGTTTGCAGATATGGAGAATCGAGGTGAGAATTAACTCTGAAGAGTTTTTTCATTAAAACCCTGCAATTTCCTATTCATGTGCTGGCTCCTCTGTCTATAACCTCTTATTTTAGATATTTGATGTTACAGCTAATTAACATTTAATGGATTAGTTGATGTCATTTGTATTGGCTTTAAACTGTAGTTTTTACCACATGATGAAATATATCAATTTGGCATAAGAATGCTTATAGCTACTGCTGTCTCTGTTTCTCTGGATTGGATGGTGTTGAAACATCAGAAATAATTTTGATATCACTGATCTTCTTTTGCAGAATATGGAGATGGTCCCTGTTCCTCCCAAATCCTATGGGAATTTTTTTGAAGGAGACAGCTACATCATTTTATATGTAAGTCAGTTTTCATCAAACGGACTTCCTTAAATACAATAATGTCTGAACTGCAGCATACCATCCAAACTACATAATCTTTTCACAACATGACAAAATAGCTAAAGGAAGGGTTATATGCCACAAACATTTTAATGTCAGTAATGTTTTTCGAAACATAGCAAAACAATTTAAATCATTCTTACATGTATAACATTTCAACTACTGAAGGTTTACTGCTGGTAACAAGGAGTACAAAGAAGAGGTGTATTGTATAATGTATTGATCAATTGAAAGCATTTCTTAATGAAAAATGTGATGAAGTGTGCCCTGAATGACAACAAATTTGGAAGGTCATTCACAGAATCTAATGATTGTGTCTGAATGTGAAACTGCTTATCCTCCTCAGTTCCTTTAATGTTTTTTTTTTACTGTCTTTAATCATGGTAAAAAGAAAGAGAACGTTTGAGAATAGAATAGGAATTCTAGCTCCTACACAAACTTAGAAAGGCAACACAAAATTTAGAACAAGGTTGTTAAGGAAAGGCTAAAAGTTATTTTACAACATCTCTCAATTAAGCTTCTCACCATTAGCTGATTGTCATTATCCTATGGTTTTTCCCAGACTCACAAAACCAGCAATAACTACACCTATGACATTCACTACTGGCTGGGAAAGGCTTCCTCTCAGGATGAGCAGGGAGCTGCAGCCATCTACACCACGCAGATGGATGAACACCTGGGAGGCACAGCAGTACAGCACCGGGAAGCCCAGGGCTATGAAAGCGAGACCTTCAAGGGATATTTCAAGCAGGGCCT